GCCTCAGCCTCAGCCTCAGCCTGCCTCAGCAGCAGCCTGCCTCAGCCTCAGTTGGCTACGGGCATTCAAAATGTGGCCCGGGAATGGAGTTCTGGGAACTTGAAGAGCACGAAGTGGCCTACAGTTGGCTCCGGGCATTCAAAATGTGGCCCGGGAATGGAGTTCTGAGAACTCGAAGAGCACGAAGTGGCCTACAGTTGGCTCCGGGCATTCAAAATGTGGTCCGGGAATGGAGTTCTGGGGACTCGAAGACCACGAAGTGGCCTACAGTTGGCTCCGGGCATTCAAAATGTGGCCCGGGAATGGAGTTCTGGGAAGTCGAAGAGCACGAAGTGGCCTACAGGTGGCTCCGGGCATTCAGAATGTGGCCCGGGAATGGAGTTCTGGGAGGTCGAAGAGCACGAAGTGTGTGACTGTTGGCTTAAAACGACTTCTGCGGCACCCTGTCCGGCACCCGCTCAGACCCCCCTGTGGAGTCATCTGCTGCTCTCTTTTGACACCACTAGAAACCTATTCAGTCTTCGCTGTTAGGTAATTTTCACACAAAATGCTACCAAACGGGCTTCGCGCGCGCGCGCATGTCGAAATCTGTCGAACGCCCTTGCGCGTGTGCCGTCGCGAGAATCCTCTGCAACAAATGGGACGAAGTGCAGACGCGCGCGTCGTCGCGCGCGTACGCCGAAATCCTTCAAAACCCATTTGTTTCGGAAGGTTTCGCAACACGGATTTTTAACAAAAGCGTGCGCGCGCGCTCTTGTGTCGTCGTCGTCGTCGTCGCCGTCCTCCCTCCTCCCGCGTCGTCGTCGTCGTCGTCGTCGCCCACGTCGTCCTCTGTCTTTCCTCGTGTTCGTCGTCGTCGTCCTCTTTGGCGTCGTGGTCGTTTCCGTCGTCGTTGTCGCCGTGGTCGTCCTTCCTCCTCCTCCCTCGTCGTCGTCGTCGTCCGTCGTCGGCGTCTCGTCGTCGTCCCTCCTATTTCGTCGCCGTCGTCGTCGTCGTCGTGTCGTCGTCGTCTTCCCTCCTCCCTCGTCGTTGTCGTCGTCGGCGTCGCCGTCCTTCCTCCTTCTTCGTCGTTCGCGTCGTCGCCGTCCTCCCTCCTCCCTCGTCGTTGTCGTCGTTGTCGTCGTTGTCGCCGTCGTCGTCCTTCCTCCCTCGTCGTCGCCTTCGTTGGCGTCGTCGTCGTCTTCGTCTTCGTCGGCGTCGGCGTCGTTGTCGTCGTCGAAGTCGTCGGAGACGTCGTCGGTGTCGTCCTAGTCGTTGTCGTCGGTGTCGTCGTAGTCGGTCTGAACAGGTTTTGCAAACCAAGTTGCGGGTGGGTGGGTGGGATGTTTGCACGAGCAATGGAGAGGACAGCTTCAAGACAGTCAAAGTGGATTGCACCACATAGATTGCACCTCGAATCATGTATAGCCCCACGTAGATGGTGATGGCACTACATATATTGCATGTCGTAGTTCGCACCCCATATATTGCATAACAAATACTGCGCACAATGGACTGCACCACGCAAGTTCGTTCCACATAGGTTGCGTATCCTATATTGCATTACTGTACATATGCATAAGCACTACATCGGTCGCACAACGTATATCGCACAATCTATAATGCGCGACGTGTATTGCATCATATTGTTTGCTTCACATGTTTTGCACCACGTAAACCGCACCACATACAGTGGGCAACAAAGATTGCACGCCATGCAGTCAATGCACGACATCGCTTACACCACATTTATTGTACCGCATATATGAAAGAGCGTGTTCTACCGCTGCTGGCGGAAAACCGGGGGGGGTCACTACCGGTTCGAACCCCTCCCCCCCCCCCTTCCGGAAAACCGGGGGGGGTCACTACCTGTTCGAACCCATCCCCCCCGTTTCATCATGGACCCAGGGGGGGGGTCTTCTACCGCCAAGGGTCGAACCCCACCCCATCCCACTCCCCCGAAAACCGGGGAGGTCACTACCGGTTCGAACCCCCCCCCCCCTCGAAAACCGAGGGGGGGTGCGGACAGTGGTGGGGACGGTGGTGGTGGGGACAGTGGTGAGGGGACAGCGGGGACAGTGGTGGGGACAGTGGGACAGTGGTGGGGACGGTAGTGGTGGGGACAATGGTGAGGACAATGGTGGGAACAGTGGGGACAGTGGGACAGTGGTGGGGCCGGTGGTGGTGGGGACAGTGGTGTGGGGACAGTGGGAATGTGGTGGAAACAGTAGGACAGTGGAGGGTACAGTGGTGATGGGGACAGTGGTGAAGGCGGTGGCGAGGACGGCGGTGGGAAAATGGGACAGAGGTACAGTGGGGACAGTGGTGGGGACAGTGGGGACAGTGGTGGGAACAGTGGGACAGCTCAGTGGGACAGCGGAGGAGTCAGTGGGACAGTGGGGACAGTGGGGATAGTCGGGCAGTGGTTGGGGACGTGGAGAAAGTGGGGAGAGTGGAACCGTGGTGGGAACAGTGGTGGGGACAGTGGGGACAGTGCGACAGTGGTGGGGGGCACTGGTGGGGACAGTAGGGACGGTGGTGGAGCCAGTGGGGACAGTGGTGGTGAGGACAGTGGTGCTGGGAACAACAGTGGGGGATGTGGTGCGGACGGTGGTAGGGACCGGGAGTCGTTTGCTGGCGGTGAGTGGGGGAGGGTGGGGAGGGGTTCGAACCGGTAGTGACCCCCCCTCCGGTTTTCGAGTGGGGGGGGGGGTTCGAACCGGTAGTGACCCCCCCGGTTTTCGAGGGGGGGTTTTGCCAGGGGAGGAGGAAGGGGGGGGGGGGAGGGGTTCCAGCAGGGGGGCGGGATTTTCGGAGGGGGGGGGGGGAGACCCCCGGGCTCCGGAGGAAAAGTGCGGCAATTTTCCACAGTAAAGCGGCGGTGGATCACGCTCTCTCGCATATATTGCTCCGCGTCGGTTCCGCTACATGTGTTGTTCAACATCGAGTGCAGAATTTTCAGTACACAACATAGATCGCACAACATAGTTATCACCACATGAATTTGCTTTACATTGATTGGCACGATATGTTGCTAGAAGCACACTGTTTGGGATCCACGCTGGCTAACATTCGCTTGCATGCAAAACCTGACATCGATGCTGCTACCCTCATCGTTTTCGCCTTTTGTGTCTCCCGAGAGGCCCTCTTCGCCACGGTTGGCTTCTCCTCGAAGTCCTAGTCAGAACGCACCCTGGGCGTGGTCCGGGAAGTAGCGGTATCGGTATACCTTTGTGTCGCCAGGAGCGGTTCTTCCCGAAAAAGTACACCTACAGGATGGCCCCGCAGGAGGGCGAGACGGAGCAGGAGCGGAGGGGACCCAAGTATGCACTTGCACCGGTCCTGGCCAGGATCGGTGTTTGTGAACAGTCCAGCGCGTTTCTTTTCTTGCTTTCAATCCGTGGCACCAGGGCTGGCGACCCCTTCCCCGGGGTAGTTTCGCGTCCAGGAGCCGCTGTTGGTGGTCCCAGGGCCCGACAGCTGGCCCAGGAGGCCGAAACTGAGGAAACACGCCCGGATTGAAAATACCTTGGAGATTGGATAGCCGGCTCCCTTCTGCAGGAGCAGGAGCGGGAGCTCTTCGGCCCGCTGGTGGAGGCCCTGGAGCAGCACATGGACGCGGAGCGGAGCCTCCTGCGTTCGGACAGCCTCGACTCCGCCCGCAGCGTCCGCAGCAGGGTGCTATGGGTCTGCTGAGCCGTGGCACCAGGCGCCCCGCGCAGCACCCGCCGCGCCGTCCCTCCGGGGCACCCTAGCGGTGTGGTGACTACACCGCGTGTTGACTCCTTTCGTCGGTTCCCCGAGGCTTTCTCCCAGCTCGGGATGCTCTGTCGGCGGCTGCGCCTGCTCGCCAGCGCCTTCCGGGGGAGCATTGCTCAGCTCGGCACAGCACAGCACAGGACAGCTCAGCACAGCAGAGCAGCGCAGCACAGCACAGCACAGCTCAGCTCAGCTCAGCACAGCACAGCACAGCACAGCTCAGCTCGGCACAGCACAGCACAGCACAGCACAGCACAGCGCAGCAGAGCAGGAGTGGCATTTCCCGACACCGTAGGGGGTGCGCAGAGGGGTGGTCCCTGGGCGCGGCCGCTATCCGAGCCGGTCGTCCAGGGCATAGCAGGAGTGGCATTTCCCGACGCCGTAGGGGGTGCGCAGGAGGGTGGTCCTTGAGCGCGGCCGCTATTCGAGCTGGTCGTCCAGGGCATAGCAGGAGTGGCATTTCCCGACGCCGTAGGGGGTGCGCAGGGGGTGGTCCCCGAGCGCGGCCGCTATCCGAGCTGGTCGTCCAGGGCATAGCAGGAGTGGCATTTCCCGACACCGTAGGGGGTGCGCAGGGGGTGGTCCCTGAGCGCGGCCGCTATCCGAGCGGTCGTCAGGGCATAGCAGGAGTGGCATTTCACGAGCAACTCGTAGGGGGTACCGCAGGGGGTGCTCACGCTGAGCGCGGCCGCTATCCGAGGCCAGTAGTCCAGGGCATAGCAGGTAGTGCATTTCCCGGACACCGCAGGGAATGGAGGGCGGTTCCCTGAGCGCGGCCGCTATCCGAGCCGGTTCGGTCCAGGGCATGGCACTTTCTCGATACGTATAGGGGGTGCGCAGGAGGGTGGTCCTTGAGCGCGGCCGCTAGCCGAGCCAGTCGTCCAGGGCATAGCAGGAGTGGCATTTCCCGACACCGTGGGGGGTGCGCAGGGGGTGGTCCCTGAGCGCGGCCGCTAGCCGAGCCAGTCGTCCAGGGCAAAGCAGGAGTGGCATTTCCCGACACCGTAGGGGGTGCGCAGGGGGTGGTCCGCGAGCGCGGCCGCTATCCGAGCCGGTCGTCCAGGGCATAGCAGGACTGGCATTTCCCGACACCGTAGGGGTTGCGCAGGGGGTGATCCCTGAGCGCGGCCGCTAGCCGAGCCGGTCGTCCAGGGCATAGCAGGAGTGGCATTTCCCGACACCGTAGGGGGTGCGCAGGAGGGTCCTTGAGCGCGGCCGCTATCCGAGCCGGTCGTCCAGGACAGCCCTGAGGTCTGTTAGGTCTTATTATAAGAACGCTTATGATAATAAAGCATAGGTTCTTATCCGTAAGGGCTTCGCCCCCTGCCGCCGGCCCCCTCTCTCGGAGAATGGGCCATGGAAGAGCTAAGTCATGAGGCCTTGGCGCTGTCGTGAAGCAGGATCGAAACTTCATGCGAAGCCGATTCGCAATCAGCAAAACCAACTGATCACAAGAGGGGTTACCACACCTGGCGATTGGTAAGACGTGTATGGTTTACGGGCTTGGTTACCACACCTTGCGATTAAAGGGCCGAGGGAGTTCTCGCAGTTTGGGTTACCACGCCTTGCGATGGATGTGCGTGGCACCGAATTTCAGAAATGCGGCAAATCCCCTGTGTTTTTGGACCCTGACCCAGCGGATCTGCGTGAGGGGTGGCACCGAATTTCAGAAATGTGGCAAATCCCCTGTGTTTTTGGACCCTGACCCCGCGGATCTGCGTGCGGGGTGGCACCGAATTTCAGAAATGTGGCAAATCCCTTGTGTTTTTGGACCCTGACCCCGCGGATCTGCGTGCGGGGTGGCACCGAATTTCAGAAATGTGGCAAATCACCTTTGTTTTTGGACCCTGACCCCGCGGATCTGCGTGAGGGGTGGCATCGAATTTCAGAAATGTGGCAAATCCCGTGTGTTTTTGGACCCTCACCCCGCGGATCTGCGTGAGGGGTGACATCGAATTTCAGAAATGTGGCAAATCCCGTGTGTTTTTGGACCCTGACCCCGCGGATCTGCGTAAGGCGTGGCGCCGAATTTCAGAAATGTGGCAAATCCCTTGTGCTTTTGGACCCTGACCCCGCGGATCTGCGTGAGGGGTGGCACCGAATTTCAGAAGTGTGGCAAATCCCCTGTGTTTTTGGACCCTGACCCCGCCGATCTGTGTGAGGGGTGACGATTTCGAGCCCCCCGAGCAATTCAGACAACGCGCCCAGGAGGTGCTAAATATCTAGTTTGGGCCTCCCCCCCCCTCGCGCGGTCAATCAACTAGTTACAGTAACCAGCAAGAAACAGAACTGTAACACTGGAAACTACAAGCTACAAATGGCACAGGAAACTGCGAACCCGCGCCTACAGTCTGGTGGCCCCACAAGGGGGCCGGCGGATTATAAAGCATACGTTCTTACATACTATCAAGAATATTTGTTGTTCCATATTTCACATGTTTTTGCAAGTTAATGCATCCTGTTTTGATGCGTTGTAGGCCCACAAACTCGTTTGTTTGGCAGGCACAAACGCGCGCGCGCGATAGCGAACGGGAGCGCGGGGTGTCGGCGGCCATGTCCGCCGACGAGCGCGACGCCGCGCAGGAGCGGCCTGCGAGGGGGGGCCGCGTGCCGCGCCGCGCGGCGCTGCCAGCGCTGGCTGTTTGTTCGTTTGGCCGCCGCTGGGATTCCGCGTCGCGGCGGCTCTGCGCGCGCGCGGCGCGCGCGCCGCGCAGGTTCCTTTCCTTGCTGCCAGCCATCGGCGCTGGCAGCTGGGGGTGCGGCGTTTTCTCCGCTCCTTCTTCCGCGCGCGCCGCCGTCCTCGCTCGCTGCCCTCTCCTTCGCGCGCAGGTTCCTTCCCCGCTCCATCCCCCCAGGTGAAGATGATTTCTACATGGACGACCTCAACGAGCTCACCTCGTCGATTTTGCTAGCTCGAAATGAATTCACACTTCTCCGCCGAGTAATGGCGGCTTCGCCGGCTTCGTCCTGCGCGGGGGACGTCGGGCCTTCTTGGTGCCCGATGCTCCCGCCAGGGCGGGTGCCGAGCGTTCGGGGGGTCCGCGGAGCGTGCGGGCGCAGCTCGCCTGTCGGGCAATGGTGCAACGCTCGTGCCGAGCGTACGCGTAAAGAGCGACCAGCGGGGCCCGCTGGCAACTGTGCCACCTCGCAAAGGGCCAATTAATGCCCGCTGGCCAACTGGGGCCCAAAGGCAACTGCGCCACTTCGCAAAAGGGCTAATTAGCGCCCGCTGGCCAACTGGGGCCCTTTGGCAACTGTGCCACCTCGCAAAGGGCTAATTAGTGCCCGCTGGCCAACTGGGGCCCATTGGCAATTGCGCCACTTCGCAAAGGGCTAATTTGTGCCCGCTGGCCAACTAGGGCCCACTGGCAACCGTGCCGTTTGCAACAGGGCTAATTTGTGCCCGTCGGCCAATTGGGGCCCATTGGCAATTGCGCCACTCGCAAAGGGCTAATTAGTGCCCGCTGGCCAGCTGGGGCCCACTGGCAACTGTGCCACTCGCAAAGCGTAATTTGTGCCCGCTGGCCAACGGGGGCCCACTGGCAACTGCGCCATTCGCAAAGGGCTTATTAGTGCCCGCTGGCCAACTAGGGCCCACTGGCAACTGTTCCACTTCGCAAAAGGGCTAATTAGTGCCCGCTGGCCAACTGGGGCCCACTGGCAACTGCGCCATTCGCAAAGGGCTAATTAATGCCCGCTGGCCAACTGGGGCCCACTGGCAAGTGTGCTATTTCGCAGAGGGCTAATTTGTGCCCGCTGGCCACTTGGGCCCCTTGGCAACGGGGCCACCTCGCAAAAGGGCTAAGTCGTGCCCACTGGCCAACTTGGGCCCGCTGCCAATCGTGCCACTCTCAGGGCCTAACTGTGGCCGCTGGCCAAATGGGGCCCACTGGCAATTGTGCCACCCCCCCTGGGGCTGGCTGGGCACACTGCACTCACTCGGCGGCGGTGTCAGGACGCCTTCTGGCCGTCTGGGCCCATGGGCAACCGCGCCACCGCGACGGCCGACTGGGCCTCCTGGCAACTGTGCCACCTGCACCATCGTAGCGGCCGACGGGTCCGCGGGCAAAATGCCATTATTGCTTTTGCAATTGCCTCTGCGCTCGTTCGTGCCCGTGCGTGCTCGGCGCGCGCGCGCCCGCGCGGGCGCTGCGTTGCTCCGCCGCATTTGAAGCGCGCCAGTGCAGCAGCAGGGGCGGTCGCGACAGGGGGCGACGCGATTCGGGCGCGCTGACAATGGCGGAGGAGTTGCGCTTGTTTCTGACTGCTGAGGCGCCTGCTCCGCAGGGCTGCCCAGACAAGGAAGCGTTCCTCAATGACCTCGTGGCGATTCTTGGCCGCGCCGAGGCGAGCCCGCCCTCGCGCCCTGCCGCGCGGGTCGGCGGCGCGCGCGCGCGGCCGTGGCAGGCGTGGGCCCCCCACGCGCTCGCATCCGTCGCACTTGACGAGCTTGATCCGCGCCCCAGCGCAGGGAGGAGGCACGCTCTCGCTGGCGCCATCGAGGCCGCGGCGCGCTTTCGCCCCGGTGGCGCCGCGACGCCGCGCGGCGAGTCCTGCGCAGGTCGCAAAGAAGCGCTTTGCCCCGCGGGCGCACGAGGGCAGGGCGCCGGGCGGCGCGGGCCCCGCTAATGGGGGCGACGCGATAGGCGAACTTTCCCGCCTGCTCAAGAGAGAGGAAGCCCCAGTCGTCCACGTGGACGTGGGGCAACGGCTGAAAGAGATCAAGCTCGACGATCTCCCGCCGGCATTGTGGCCCAGGCGAGTCCGCGGAACCCGCTTGCTGGATCGGGCGCGACGTCTGCGCGGCGGTGTCAGGAGCGCGCGCGTCGACGCCCTTGCGGTCGAGGTCGCGAAGCTGAAGAAGAAAGGGGTGGCCAACCCTTTCGCGCGCGCGGACTTGCGCGATTGGTCGCCGTTGGGCGCGCCCCCCGCCGCCGGCGCCGACGCGCTGACATGGAACGAGTGGCACATGGCCATCGATGCATACCCCGCGCGCGTTCGGCGCAGCGTGCTTCGCAACGCCGCCTTTCGGCTTCCTGCGAGTTACGCAATTGGTGCAGCCGTGACAGGCCAACTGGCGCGCGTGTCCGCCATGGCCCACGAGCAAATTTGCATGAGGGCGCCCCCGCGCGCGCCATCGGTGCCACGCTGTCGCGCGCCGCTTCGT